GATAATAAAAAAAATGTATTAATTTATCAAGCAGTAATAGTGAGATTAATTCACAATGACTGCCTGATATAATTAAATAAATACAATTTGTCAGTATAAAAAAAGTGAAAAGTGTAAATAAATTACAAAAAATAGTGAAAAGTGTAAAAAAATTAAAAATAAGGGACAAATAAATGAATGTATGTATTGCATTTTTTTTTAGCTGTGCTGATTTTGTTAAAAAAAAATACTACAAATCAAAACTGGGAAAAAAGGTTTTTTTTTACGTTTTTTCCTCTTTTTTTAATTTGTATTTGTCCTAAGTGAGGCGTTAGACACACATATGTGATATAAATATATAGCCCTATCTGTCCTCTAAAAAACAATATATAATATGTGTGGGTGCACTTTGTAAGAAAGTATATTACTGACGTGGAAGAATCACACAGCAAAAATGTCAAAAGTGTGTCAGTCATTTACGAACAGAAACCAAAAACAAGCTCAGTCATGAAGGGGTTAAACAACCTAAGACTCATCTTCTTGCTGCCATTTACCCCCAAACTTCTAGAAAGCCTAGTCTACAACGGTTTGAGCTGTTTCAACACTTCACGGAAACTGTCCTTCTAAAACTCACTAATGACAAACTGCTGAAGCCAATGGGCTCAGTACTCTTACTATTAGACCTTTTTGCTTCCTTTAACATAGTTGACCAGCCACTACTTCTGAAAAGAAAACCCTGTAAGAGAAATATTGTGCGCATTAAAGTTCCCAAGCATGCACAGAAACCTGTTTTCAGGGTCAAAAGGAAACGTGTGCTTTCATGCTAAACAGATGGCAAGTGGAATGCTCCAGCAGGGCGACACACAGGAACTAACATCAGATGAGCATATACATACTGGCATATTTGGCTCCCTCATTGCTGATTGATCTTCAGGCAGTCTTGTTCCCTGGGCTCTGAAATTCTGCTTGTCTCCTGTTCATGACCTGGCTTGCTACTAACTCCTCTTTTGCTTGCTGCCTGCCTCCTGTGACCTTGACTTGTTTTACAGAATTGCTTCTTGTCTTCTGCCTTGTACCTGCTCTGATCTCCGACTTCTGACCCCGGCTTATGACCCAGACACTGCTCCTGGTTTCCTATTTGGTAACATACTGCCTGGCTGGCTCTATACTCGGCTTGTGACCCCGACCTTGCTCCTGTCTGCCTCCTCCTCCATTTGGTCTCCATAAAGGTACGCAACAGTACATGACACCCCACTTTCTTGCCCCCCAAGACTGTGCTCTTTCCTGGGTCTCCTCCTACCTATCTAAGCACTCCTTCTGTGTCATCTACAATTGTATCTCCACCTCTCCTTCTTCTCTTTCTATAGGGGTTCCTCAAGGCTCTGCCCTCGGTACTCTTCTATTCTGTATCTACACCTTTGGTCAGTTAGTAACCTCCTGTGGCTTCTAATACCATTTCTATGCTGATGACATGCAAATCTATCTTTTTACTCCTCTGCTCACACCTTCAGTCTCCTTGCGTATCACGTATTTACTAACTGCCATATCAGTATGGATGCCAGACCACTTCCCACCCACACCACCCGGAGAGAACAACACCCACCCGCACCCACATGCAGCCCTGGTGAGACTGCATGCAGCCATGGTGGGACTGCACGCAGCCCTGGTGAGACCTGCATGCAGCCCTGGTGAGTTCTGCACGCAGCCATGGTGAGACCTGCATGTAGCCCTGGTGAGACCCATACACAACCCTGGTGACACCCAAACACAGCCCTGGTGACACCCAAACACAGCCCTGGTGACACCAAAACACAGCCCTGGTGACACCCAAACACAGCCCTGGTGACACCCAAACACAGCCCTGGTGATTTCTGCACGGAGCCCTGGTGAGACCTGCATGCAGCCCTGGTGAGACCCAAACACTGCCCCAGTGAGACCCAAATGCAAACCTGGTGACACCTAAACACAGACCTGGTGGTACCCTATGATGACCTCTATGATTAAGCTCAGGTGGTGAAACACGTGAGGGGCGTTGGCGTGGTGTGGGAGATGCTTATGGTGTTGTACATGCTGTTCATTGTTCTCTTGGATTTACTTTTTTTTTGGAATCTGTTTGGATTATTTTAATAAACATTTGGATTGCACTAATTCTGGTATTGTGCGGCTGATCTTTTGAAAATTCCTGGTGACACCCAAACACAACCCTGGTGAAACCCAAACACAGCCCTGGTGATTTATGCACGCAGTCCTGGGGAGACTCAAACGCAGCCCTGGTGAGACCCAAACACAGCCCTGGTTAGATCTGCATGCAGCCCTCGTGAGACCCAAACACAGCCCTGGTGAGATCTGCACGCAGCCCTGGTGAGACCCAAACGCAGCACTAAAATCATTAGTCTGTATTGTTTTAGACAAAAATGGCAAGTACCTGAGGGAAAGTACTTGTATTTGTACTTGGTCTTGAAAAAAAGGTATTGGAACATCCCTACTTTTATGTATGAATGTGGTCATTTGTATGACTACATTACAAGACATTCTAATGTGTAGTAGCTATCATAGACACAGTCATCATTAAATTCAAATATATACATATCAAACCTACCAAAATACCCTTAGCAAAATACTGACAGCGGTGCATTTCTGTGATTAGAGTCAATACCTAAAGAAACAGGACAGATAATCTATGAAAGGAGTATTGGGAGTAATTATTTTTTGTGCTGTTAAAACACATATAAATGAAGCAGCAACAGGGTCCAAGCAAGGCTATAGAATTATTCAGTGCCCCATACCACCCAAGAGATTTGACATGGCATTTCATTTATTGGTTTAAAAGGAATAATTATAGGAACTAACTCTATAGTAGCCCACATGGGTTTAATGTGGTCCAACTGCAGTATCCTCCAACTCGCTTCTATCAACTAGCTACATACTTATAAAGCATTTAATGATTCTGCTCATTATTCAGGTGGTCAAATATTTAAAGCAGGCAGGGTCATTGTAAAAACCATTACTGCTGAACAAAGCACAGAGGATTATGTGCAGCAAGGACACCTTCCCTGGAACCATTCTATAGCTGGTGTTTGCTTGGAGGTGTAAGTTATGGTGTCTGTGGTTACCCAGTTAGACCTTGCACAGGATGTCGATCCAGTGTTAGGCACAACAGAAACCCACCAGAAACAATATGAACATACAAAAACAAGATAAAGGAAAACAAACATAGGACTATAAACTAATCTGGACTACAAACATGCCTGCCTCTCAGCAATACTGTTTACAATAAATTGATATTAACTTTATATGTGAACTCAGCACCAATGGAAACGTAACGCTAATAATGATAAATATGTATCTTTACAAGTTTTTTACATGCCTACTGTTCTGTGGCTAGGAATTTTGAAAACTCAGTTTTATGCTTATATTATCAAGTAATGTAGAGAACTGTCATCACTGTTTTACAGAATGTGGGTCATGCAAAAATCCCATGCGCCTGGCTTTGCAGGTTTACCATAGAGCAGATCCGAAGCCATAGGTCAGGTCAAGTTTATCCTAATAGCAGCGAATTTTATAATTATAATTTTATAATTGTAAGGCTCTACCTTACACACATGGATACCCCCCTTAGCTATCTGTACCTGCATAAAGTGCCATCCTGTGCCACACCTTTTTTCATTGAATAATTTATTATAATGTATACTACAAGATTACAAAAAGAAAACACCTCTGATTTTTAAATGACAAATAAAAACTGCTCATTGGTAGCTTGTTAAGTGCCAGAGTAACAATGTTTAGCAAAGCTTCTTGCATGGTAAATTAATACTCAGATAATGCATTATTTAGTAGATGATTCAAACTTTTGACTAATGGCTCACAGGGGCAAATTTGCGTATTTCAGAGTATGGGCTCTGCATTGGACAACTATGCTGTGTATTTTGGTACAAAGATATAAGTGATTAGTTCCTCATATGTGCCACCTTTTATGTCAACTTCACTGACTGGTTACAAGGAGAACTTTGTTTATTTTTCTATAATGGGCATCATACTTAAATGTTGCTCAGTTTATGCATAACCTGAGGTCATTCATCAAGTTAACTATGCCAGCAATCACACCTTTTGATGTTGCTACTAACATCTGAATATGTGAAACAATCAAACATGACAGAAGTTGTTACTAAGGTGTCTGGCAGAGCCAAGTGTTAGAGGGAGAACATCACAGGAAATTAGATCATATAACTCATTTAGTGCTTAGTTATGAGATGCAACTGACTATCATTAATGAAATAAAAGTGGATATTCATTATGACAGGTAATATTTGTTTTCTCTCTAAGTCGTGCATGTTAATTAGTAATTCGTATTGCTATGCTAACTTCTTAGGATTCTTTCCTTAAATTCTAAAATTGGTAAAATAAAATGTTTATTTTACTGTGAAGATGTTATTTTTTGCTACTATATTTATTTAGCTTTGATTGCTATGGGGTCTATTCACAAAAGGGAGAAGAGTTTGGAGAAGGCATTAGAAGGGAACAATCTAGGACAGCATAGCTGAACTGGAAAGTGAGCTGAATTGGAGAATTTTTCCAAATCGGCTATTTTGTCCTAGATTGTTCACTTCTCCTGCCTTCTCCAAACTCTTACCCTTTAGTGAATAGACCTGATTTATATCTCTGAAGGAAGGTTTTAGGTTTAGGAGTATTTCATAAGACAAGCAATAATATATGACTCTTAGCGGTATAATATGTTAGTTATAAAGTAGTGAAGTTAATATGGAGAAAATAGACCTATGCAGCATATTTACAAGGATATGGGGCTCAGCCTACACATTTCAGACGTCTGTTGGCCTTCTTCCATGTCTATTTCCTTGTGTGTGCTTTTCCTCTTCGTTCTGTTTCTCCTGTGTGCTCTTGATCTTTTCCCTGATCACACCACGCTGCTCATCCTGCTTCTCCTTCCACCCCCATCCTCCATGTCCCTCTCTTCCCCACATCTTGTCAGCCTTCTTGATTATCAGATTGCTATCTCCTCTTACCTGCTAATATAGCTGGGTGGTCTGTCTTTGTTGTTGAATGGTGGTAAGCTACAAAGTGTCCTTCCCGTCTTTAGTGTCCTCCTGAGTCGAGCATAAAATGACATCCAGGTAATCCCAGACGCACAAGCTAATATAGCTTTCCTTTCCCTTCCCAGATGTTCCTCACTAGGCCACCAGAAGAACAGATGTTGTCTTTGTGTCTTCGGTTCCAGATACTACACAGGAAAAGGCTGATTGTGTAACTGGGAGGAGAGCACCGAGGATGTGGTCCTCCAACCTATTTAGAGAGATAAATTATTGGTATTGTCCCCTCATTCCTGCTATACCTGCATATTCTTTCTATTCAATGCCCTTCTCTATTCTCCTTCACCATTTTTCATATCCTAATGTTTTCGATACATTTGCTTGTGCTGTTTCCATATCATTTTCCCTGCAATGTCTGCTTCTCACTAACCTTATATAAGTCACCATCCTCAGATACATTCCATCAACCTCAACCCTTTTACCCCTGTTTCGGCTTGTTAATGGATCTCTGTAATAAAATGGCTATCAGATGGCATAGTTATATAACAATACAATGTAAATAGCTGTATATCCCTTTAATTCTATTATTTAAAGACAATATCTGTACACTCAACCCCCACCACTTTCCGATTATACATGTGTGGCCTCACTCCATTATCCCCATTTTAATAATATTCATGTTATTCCTTTTTTTTTGTCTGTCCCTCCTCTATCCCCTTATTTATCTCCCTCACCTTAAAGAAGGGTTGATTGTCACTTTATTCTGCATCTGCCTTTCTCCCGCTTCTGGAAGACAAGAGCAGACGCACAGCTCAGGCCTCATCTCTTCCTCTGTGGTGCTGATACTGTAACAGCGCTGATTCAGTGCTGGATGCTTCAGCTCTCTGCGACATGCCTCCTTCTCTATCCTTCTCTCCTTCACAATTTCCTCTATTGGCCTGGTGGAGGAGGGGTCCTTCTCACTCTCCTCTTTCTCTCCCAGGGGATGCTATCGTTGCTATGTCTTTGGGTTCCCCCTTGTCAAACACAGAGACCAGAGCGTGTGCCCCAGCTCAGCCTGAGAGAGGAAAGGGAGGGGGGAAATGATGGTGAAGGAGGGAGAGAGATGCTGAACATTGTTTAATAGACATTTGCAGAGTATTACTCCTATGCCCCTCAGCGGGTAGTCACCTACTTTATTAGTTGTCCTGTACCAGGAATTGCAGTACGCTTATTAACTCCTTCCCAGCCAGAGGCATCTGAGTGAGTGGCCCCAAAATCCCTCTTTGCTATGGGCCTGTAAGCCTTGCTGCATTAACCCCTCCCCTGCTAGACAACTGCAGCGTTTCCTTAACTCTTTCTCACATCAGCAGTCAGTCCATGTAGCGTGTTGTTGTGGTAATTCTCTACCCTCTACCTGCAGAATATTGCTTCATTAGATGCTCCATTCTGTAAAAAATGAATGCTGAATAAGGAAAAGTGATGTATGTATGTTGAAAGCTATTTTCATGCTTCTCATGTGCTTTGCTTATTTGTTTTTAGCAATTGAAAGACATTGGCAGTTGCATTTGCACTGTTTCCCTCATATGCACATCATTTACAATAGCAATTGCGTAGTTCTATCAAATTGCCATATTTTGTGTGGGAAGTCCCCGAGCTACGCTTTGTAAATCTTCCGTTTTGATGAGTCTATTACACTGTGATAAAAATGGAGAGTTTACTCTCCTCTTCATAAAAGTTGCAGAGTATGTCATATGCTCTGTGATTATCCCATCGCTGCAGCATGTTCAGCAAATCTCCACAAGCTGGGCTATGATAGCTTCAGTTTATGACTGCATCATTCATCCTGAAGTTCTATTACTGCATCACATTCACAAATGCTGATGGATATATACTATTACACTTAATATTATTGTGTACAAGAAAAGATCAATACTGTTTTGTTCTAAACTGTTAGCATATTAAGTATGAAGTGTCCATGATGGTTGAATCCCCACTATGGGTCCAGGAGCCGGTATACCCTTTGTACCCCTGTTGTAGCTACTTAGACATCTACACCCTTCTTGGTCTGTACTAGTGATACTGTGCACAGACCCATACAGAAATTATTCCTAGTGACATTCTATGATTTTAAAAATTGTGCAGTTCAAGAAATCTTGCGCCCAGTAAGTACACCCCATCTAATGAAAAGATATCTATGTTCGAATCCATATAGCATACATGTTTATAACACCCGAAGTTCTAAAGGGGTGTGAACACATGTTAACACTACAACTTTTGGACATTTTAACATTTTAATACATTAAATGCTTTAATACTTTAAGCAATGTTTAATATATTAAGGCCCCATTCACATTTGTAAATGCGGCTGATTGAATGAATCACAAAAATTGCTCTGCGAGACTGTCTACATCCAGGGGTGATTACATGTGAATGGCCACGTAAGGCTGGGGGAGCTGGCAGCTGTCATTGCTGTAAGCAGCGCTTCCCGTCCACAGCTGTTCGCATGAATCTCATGGAGCAATTTGTGAGACTTATGCAGTCAGGGTTTGATAATAAATCTATAGAACTCTAATACTTTTATATATATATAGTGCCAACATGGGGTAGGCAGACCCAGTTGGAAGAGAGCTATAGACTATAGAAATATGTAAGGGTGTATAGCAATGTGAAGAGGGTTCATTCAGAATTTTTAGCATGCTCAGTACCTGGCTAAAACAAGCATATCCACCTATGGCTGTTCTACACATTTATCTTGACCATTGCCATCCATTTACCACCAATGGGAAAGATGAGCACCACACTTTGAGAAACACTAATTTAAAGCACATACAAGCAAAATGTTGTTTAAATTTAACAGTAATACATGATTTTAATGGCTGATCTCCAGGCATATAACTGAATACACTGTTCCAAACATGTAATTAGAAACTTGTATTTTTGTTTCTCCAATTCTAGATTTACAAGTTGCTGACCTGGTTTCACTCTACTGCTGTTAAAGCCCAACTCCAGACACAATTTTTTATTGTTAATGATCTCCCAGCAGTCGTTAACAAGGCAGATCTGACTACAATATTCACCTCCTCTCTGCTGCTTCCCACAATTATCTCTTTCTGCTTATAGATGTCCTTTATCCTCCACACAGAAGACTGTGTTGAAATGAAGAAATAAGGACATCTGGTTAGTGCGGGGCATTATGGATCAGCTTCCAGAAGGGTATACACCGTGGTGCCCTGCACTCAAAGTAGAAATGCAGAGAACGGTGCTGACCCCATTGCATCAGTGGTTCTTTCTGCATCATTGAGAACCTCCCAGTGCCAAAAAAGAGGCAAAGAGGAAGAGGACTTCTGCAAATGGAAAGTATTTAAAAAAAAGCATAACACACGCTCTAGGGGTTTCCAAGGATGAAAGAGGGGGCTCGGGAGCTAGTAGCATAGAGTTGGGCTTTCAGCACTTTGCTTCCAGAGCATTTTTAAATTTTCTACACACATGTTAAAACCTAGATTTTTTGCTAGCCCCAAACAATTATATATTTTTTAAAGCAGAGGCGTGTGGAACGATTTTTTTAAATGTAATTGCAATGCACGGTATTGCATTACATTGCTTTTTGGAGGTGCGTTGTGCGCTACAGTACACTAATCACATAGAACCCTGCGATTACTGCATCTCACCGGTCTGAATTTTATAGCTATTACAGGGGAGCTAACAAGCCCCCAAGTGATAGCATTGGTCATGCAACAGATACTTTTTCTGACCATCCTGACATCATTTATCAAGGTCCCAGGCTTGGAGTGTCCTGGAACCACTGCGAGGAGGGTTGGGGGGGGATGTGACAGGGGGGTAAGCACCATTACAACCTTGTTACAACCTTGTAGCAGGCTCACTTTTACTGGATAGCCAGGAGCCAGCTGCTGCAGTCATGAGCTAGTCTTAACCACTTTAAAACCATGATGTTCATAAACATCATGTGGATGTCAAGCGGTTAAGCATGAAGCGAAGTCATCTGGCTTTTGACTGGGCAGTGAGGGCCTATTCACACCTTTGCACACTTTAAAGCACATTCTTTTCTGCATGAAATTGCATTGCATTAACAGGATCCCAAGGCACCTGTACTATTTCTGTTAATGCAGAGCACCGCAACGCACATAGGATTCACATTTATGCACTGCTGTGCACTATAGCGCAGGCACATTAAGGTCTACTGTATGCATTGGGGTATCATTCAAAATAAAGGGCATTACCCTGCAGTGCACATATACCATGCCTCACAGTGCAATGCTGTGACGCATGTTAAAACTCAGCTCCGTGGATCTTGGATTTTGATAATGTGATAATTTGTATCTCTTAAGAAGCCAGATAACATTTCATCAATTACAAGAGTCCAATATATTTCATGTGTGCTGGTGTTGGGATATTGACAGGTGAGTTTGGACAAGATGGAACAGCTAATGAGAGGCAGTTAAGCTTGACTAAACAGCAAGGACTCATTCACACTGATTATGGTTTCTTGATTTCACAACACAGGCAAAATGCAGGTTCATATGTAGAGCAAAATTTTCAAATAAAGCACATTTTCACATAAGGGCTTTAATGCAGCACGTCATAAATTATTGTACTTGCCACATTTTGGATGAGCTGCCCTGTGTTGTCCTATTCAATTTAATTAAATGGAAGTGGTCATTTAAGTGATTTGCATCTGATTTGCAGTGATTTGAGTCTGAAAACCGGTTTGCACTCAAGAGCTCACACATATGCTTTAACCCACAGTATCTGTGTCACCTATCACAGCTATGTTGAAAATAGTTAAAGCAGAAAAAAAAAGCACTTTGCATCCTAAACATTCTTCCCGATCCCCAAAGGCAATCTGATATCTTCCTGGATCAGCATATTCTATGATGTTACTTCCTATAAATAGTAGCCTTTTTATATTTTGTGCTTTTTTATGGTGTTACAAAAAAAATTAACACTATATTGTGTTGATTAGAACCATGCCCTGTGAAAGACCTTTTTCCCATTTTCATAGCTTTTAAACGGACCTTTACACTCAAAAATCAAATTCTACCAATGCATCCCTCTATGTATGATGAATAATAACATAGACATGTCAGGTGGAAAACGCTGTGATTATGAAATACTTACACTTGCAGAGCATTCACTTCCTGCTTTGGAAGGGCAAAATTACTTCAGTTTGTCAAAGCAGTGCACACTGGGATTGCCTTGTCATCCGCACAGCATTGCTGGAAAATCTCATCTGTAATCTCACGAGATCTCAGGGAAAGGCATTTTCCTCCCATAAGATGGTGTGAATGGTCACATGTCCTAGTCACATGTCTAGTCACATGTGCCAGAAATCCAGGAAGTAAGAGGAGAGCTAGTAAACTACCCTTAGTAAACATGCCCACTGTCAGAAGACTGGGGAAAAAAAAGAGAAATAAGGTATGCAAAATCTCTCTCCTCAATGCTCTGCATTAGTTCTGTGACAGCGGCTCCGTCCTCCGCCCTCCCCCGCCGCCGTTTCCTTCACTTCTTCTCGGATCCCCGCTGGGGAGAGCAGCGGGGATCCAGAGAAGCGGCGGGAGGAGAGGACATGGCGATCTACCAGTGATCGCTACGCGATCGACTGGTAGATCGCGATCGACCTTGTGGGCACCCCTGATCTAGAAGTATGTGTTTGTAGATTGTAATTTGTAAACATTTCTAAAGGTGTGTTTGTTGTTATTTTAAAGATATGGGTAAAGGTCCACTTTCATGGCAAAGAACCCTTTCTATATATGGGGGTTAAACATATTTTGCTCTAATTGCAAAGAGCACCTTTATCTTTTAGGGTGACTTTGGAGACAACTTTGCACTGAATTTACAATATGGAGAGTTTCCTTTTATTTCCACAGTGTGAGCATATCCTCCTTTAATTGCCTGTTTTCAAAGAAGAATCCTACAGATGTAAAAGTGATAATTGCCTGCAGCTAGTAAGCATGTCTGTGCAGAATGAGCAGCTCAAGTGCAATTAGCTTTCATTCAGCAAGGGACTGCTCCCTCCTCCTTTGTGGCAAATGTCTGTCATTTTCCCATGCAGACGTGCTACATTGGGATCTGTGTGGTAATCTTTTTGGGGACACAAGTAAACTGGTTCATTGATTCTAGGTTACA